CTGCAAAGTTGCTTCATTTTCTTGAAGACTGTTCTTTCTTCTGTATTATTTTTCTTTTTGTTATCCTTTTTTTTTAGCTATGTGTTTGATAAGTACAGGATTTTTTAAACCCACTATTATCTTATGAGACCACTAATGTATACAATGATGCCTTGCTGACTAAAACCTCATTAAGGGTTACATGATTACATACAAATAAAATTGGAAGCAGCTGACTTAACAGTGTCTAGCTGGGAAAAAAACACAAATCATACAGCTTATATGCAGCCGTGTTCATTATGACAGTGTGACCTGAGGTAAAGTCTCATAGCCAAATGAACTATAAGGAAACATTTACACTTAAGAATCACATGGAGAGGGTACAAAAATAATGAGAAAGCATGGAATAGCTCATTTGGTAGACTTTCAAGATATTACAGATAACTTTTTAAAATAAATACATGTTTTGCTTCTCAGATGAGAATTTTGTGTAGCTCACCAGAAAATGTCATCAAGCATGAAGGAAAAGCAAATTTTTTTTACTAAAAGCTCATTCCTTTCAAGAGAGCAAAATCCATTGGGCTTTGATAAGAAAATGAAAGAGTAAGAAAAAAGAAAATAGTCTTTTGATAAAGGTAACTGAATCACCTTTCCTTTAGCTGAAGAGGATTTATCTAAGAATTCTTATTTTACAGATATCCCTAAATTTGAATAAGAAAAATGTAGGAACTCCCAGAATCAAGGGACTAAATTTGAAAAACTACTTAGAGGCAAAACTTGTGGTGAGAAAGGCAAAAAAAAAACACAAAAAAAGGAATGGTATCTGTTTTGTAAAAATATGGGCTAGAATGTCTTTTCCCTAAAGAACTAATTTAGAATAATTTCAGGGACAGATAAACCATCCAGAGAAGACAAATGTCTCCTTAGCCCAAGCTAAAGGCAATATTAATTAAAGGAATAATTAAGACAGCTACTTGAATACTCTTCCTGGCTTGGTAAAAGCTAGGTCAAAAGAAGACAAGCAAGTCGGGAAGATGTATAACTGAAAAACTCAGATGTTAGCCAAAGTTCACCTACATTATGGAATGAATTTAGAATTAGAGGAAAATATAAACTATCAGAAAAGGCTCTCTGGAATTATTGTTATTGTCTCTGAACTTCAGGGTTTTCTAAGCTCCCTTGATCTGAACTTTCAATGAAGAGTTTATATATCCAGTGGTGATTAGGCCCGGAGGAAAAATTGATTATGCTACACGAGATGGATTGTATCCAATAGTTCATTTAATAATTTACAATGAAAAGTAACTAGCAAGCATACAGATATTTAAATTGGCCAGTCAGTGAATTCTTTATCCCCAAATGAAGTCAATTTGAGATATCAAATGAAGATCATAAGCTTGCTTGATGATGTATGAAATCTGAGTGAGAAAACAGCCTCTCCATGTCATCCAGGTATTCTTATCCATTGATCTGTGTGCTTGCTCATTTTAACAAATCTGCACATTCATTATCTCCTCAATCTTTCAATTTTAAATACTCCAAGTTGCTGTTTTACTTCTGTTTAAATCAAGATTTATTCCAAAGCTGTCTGATTGCTCTAGTGGGCACTAATCTCCTTTTACTACTATTGACTTCAGAAGCTATCCAATCAATTAGATTTTTAAAAAACTATGTCAAGCAAGGTCTTTAGGAAAATGTAAGTTGTCTTTTCATTAACTTCTGCGTTATTTATGTTCCAATTTAAAAGCAAAGGATGAACTAAATTCACTGTCAGATGCCCTCGGAAAGGTATGCTAAAAATTTAGATGCAGGAGGGCTGGGAAGGTGGCTCAGTGGTAGAGCGCTTGCCTTGCATGCTCGAGGCCCTGGGTTCGATTCCTCAGCACCACGTAAGCAAAAAGAAAAAAGCCAGAAGTGGTGCTGTGGCTCAAGTGGTAGAGTGCTAGCCTTGAGCTGAAGAGCTGAGGGACAGCGCCCAGGCCCAGAGTTCAGGCCCCACGACCGGACCCAAAAAATAAATAAATAAAAATAAAAATTTAGATGCAGGAGTAAAATCATTAAAAAAAAATCTCAAGATTCTATTATGAAAGATACACTTTGATTCACCTATTTTAATAGCAGCAACTTTCAAAATTGAAATTACCACTCCTTTTTCACAAACCCATTATGATTGCCACAAAGGATAAACAGGTGGTATACATTTTGCTATGCATTATTACTGCTGATTAATAGGTGTTAAGGTTACAAAAATGGAGTCAGGTGCTGGTGCTCATGTGTAATCCTAGCTACTAGTGACTCTGAGATTGGGAAGATCAAAGATTGAAGCTATCCTCAGCAAAAATTTTTGGTAACCCATCTCAACCAATATATTATATAGTGGTGTGTGTGCCTGTTATCACAGCTTCGGCAGGAAACATAAATAAGAGAATTGTGGTCCAGCCTTGTCTGGGCAGAAAGTGAGACCCTAATTTGAAAAATAACCAGAGAGAACAATTTTTTTTAAGGGCTAAAGGTATGGCATCTGCTTAGTAAGCATGAAGCCCAAGATCAAACTCTAGTACTATCACCAAATAATCTAAAATGCACAAGTGAGAATGAGTAAAAGTAAAGCATTAAAGATTTTAGTTGCTTTTTAAGGTCATATCTATTATTTGATAAAAATACTATCTAATAGTTTAGATTTTCTGTCATCTAAATTGTTACATTTTTAGACAGCAAGGACTCTGTCTTGTTCATAATTCTATCTTCAGTACTCAGCATATAGTTTAGCACAAAGCAAAAATACAACACATACTTTTTAAGTGACTAGACTGTAGTAGAGGACAAGCCTTATAGCCTGGCATTATGAGAACAGCAGCTAATATTCACTAAATACCTCTTATGTGGGGGTGTCAGGAGTTAACATATTTAAATCCCTTTCAGTATGATCATTCCCAGATGAAGGAATCAAAGCAGAGAGACAAGAAACTTGTTCAACAAGGGTGAACAAATACAAAAGTGATACTCAGTAGACACTATGTGGAAAATTAACTGGATACCTTGTGGGTGGGGATGGGAAGGAAAAACTGGGAGAGAGTGAAGGAAGGGGAGACACGGATCAAAAAGAATTGTACTCATTATTCATTACTTGATTCATGTAATTATAACCCTATGTATATCAACTCTACACTAACAATAGAAAAGAAAAAAAAGAAATTTGTTCAAGGTCATTCTACTAGGAAGTGATGGAGCAGGGTTCAAATCCAGGTAGTCTGGCTTTATAGCATAGATTTTTTTTTTCAAGCATAGACTTTTAATTGTAATTCCAGACTGTTTTGTTTCTTACTTGGGTTCTAAACTCAATATTCTATTATTGTATTTAGCTAACAAAGCTAAAGTATTACAAAGATAGCAGAGGAAAAAGAACAAAGATATAAAGACCAAAAATAAAGTATTTCAGTGATTTTTTTGCTTTGTTATATTGTATTAGAAAAGCAACTATCCTGATATTTATAATTTTTCCTGATTTTTTAATAGCATAAAATGGGTTTCATAGCAACATCTTCATATTTGCACACTATGAACTTCCTTGAAGTTTATATTGCTTGAGCTTGAGACATGATACTTCTTGTTTCTAGTCAACATATTTTCATTTGTGTTTAGGGCATTATTAGCAATTTTCCTTAAGAGGCCTTGATGACAGATGATCTTGAAAACTGGCAGATATCATGCCAAAGACTAACACCTTGAAAAATAAATCTCACTATTGGCTTAATTTTTAAAAATTATATCATATGAAGAGCTGAGGGACATCGCCCAGGCCCAGAGTTCAGGCCCCATGCCCAGACCCCCCACCCCAAAAATTATATCATATGACAATTTGCTATTTCTAAAGGATAGCAATAACAAAAATAGGACAGAAACATAAATGTCTAGTGCTTTGAGTACCTTGAAAGAAAACAGCTACACTACAAATCAAAGAAGAAGAAAATTGATAAAGTGTTTTTTACCAATTACCTACTGAAAAAATAAAATAATATTTACCTATGTCTCTACAATTTATAGAGCACTTTTGCATAAAATTTGTTCCTTTGCCATCAGTTCTGAAAATATTATTTCTACTTAGAAGTGCCACATGATTCGGTCAAAGCAGAGGAAGAAAATAAAAGCAAGCTCAGAGAAAAAGGACCAGATGGAGAGACATGTACCAATAGTCCAATAACATTTTCACTCACTTAGAAAAAGTACAGTGCAATTAAATCTTTTTATTTCAGGAGCTCTCCTATTTAGCATGCCTGTATAATGATAAGAACAATAAGAACAAAGAATATGGATAATAAATGGTATACAGACTATTTACCATGAAGCTAGGAGATAATGTAGGTAGGAACTAAGTATACAAAAGACAAATCATAGACCTTAAAACACATACAAAGCAAATCATTTGTAAATGTGAAATTAATTTGCCTACTTATTGAAAGAGTAGATTATGCAACAAATAACTAATGATATTTTAGAGAACTAAAACATTTAAACTAGCATTGTTGTACATGATTGCAACCCCAGAACTGGGCTGAGGCAGGAGGATCTTTGAGTTTGAGGTTAATCTGAGCTATACAAAAAGACCCTGTCTCAAAACAAAATTTAAAAATTAGGTTTATAAATAGCTTATCTATGTAACTCTAGTCAACTGATGTGATTTTGAATTAGAAAACATACAGTTAGCTGAGCTAACCAAAATACACTAGAACATGAAGCCCATAATCCTTGCAGTGAAAAGACAGACAGGAAGATTAAGGGCTCAAGGCCACCTGGCTATATAACAAATTCAGGCCAGCCTGGAATACATACCAAGACCCCGTCTCTGTCTCTGTCTGTCTGTCTGTCTCTCTCTCTCTCTCTCTCTCTCTCTCTCTCTCTCTCTCTATATATATATATATATATATATATATACATGAAAATATGATAATCTTAAATACATATATCTTACATGTAAGCACAACCAGACAATTCTCAGATACTTGTTAAGTTACTGCTCTTACCCCTTCTTTTGGGTCTGTGTGGAGTCCTCCTCCTGCGTGACCATGCCAACATGTTCTCTTTTCTATCAGTGGCCATGACTGGAGAGCCTAGTTCAAAATGATGCCAAGAATTTCAGGTGTTTAAAAAAATTGGCTTAGACAATCTAATCTTATAAATACCCCCAAATGACTTCAAAGGCATTCCTTTTAGCCTGGCATGGTAAAGCAAAACACCTTCAGAATTAGCGTGCAGCTAAATTTATACATAGGATACTGAGCTACAACAAATAGTCAAATCACCTTCTCTAAACAGCTTTTTGAATTATATTTTATTTGACTTCTACTGGCTCCCTTATTGTTATTCACAACCATAGAGCTATAATCTGTTACTCTATTATTGGATAAGAAAATATAGTTAATTAATTTAATACCTTACTTGCTTTTTTGTGTATATATATTTTTTAAAAAAACTAATAAATTTGATTTCAGACAATGATTCTTTTTTTCTTATTCTGACTCATCTATATTTAGCAACAGGAGTTGTTAATACTTCACAACCTATCTTATGCTATAGTCATCTGCATATGTGTTCTGTTTTTCTTATTACAAAGTAAATTTCTTAAGGTTAGGGGCAATATCTTCAGTGTTTTTTCTCTCTCCTGGTATAGACCATACTGTCTTGTATATAGCACAGCAATGTAGGGTGGATTCCTTTGATACTTGTTACATAAGCTTGTAAAAGGGCTACATACCTCCGAACTAGCCTTATTTGCTATTTTAAACTTTTTAAAGTCTTAAGATTACTGCTAAAATTAGGACATATATATAAATAAAAATATTTGAGAAAATAAGATATAAACAACTCAGTTTAAAATTTAGACTTGCAAAAAATTAAGCTTGCTAATATTAGTGTTTTCACAATTGAAAAGCTTACTTATCTAGGCTGGGAATGTGGCTTAGTGGTAGAGTTCTTGCCTAACATACATGAAGCCCCAGGTTTGATTCCTCAGTTCTATATAAACAGAAGAGGCCAGAAGTAGTGCTGTGGCTCAAGTGGTAGAGTACTAGTCTTGAGCAAAAGAAGCTCGGGGATAGTACCCAGGCCCTGTGTTCAAGCCCCAGAACTGGCAAAAAAAAAAAAAAAAAAAAAAAACCAATTTAATGAAGAGTTGGAAGGGATGAGGGAGACTGATGAAAAGGGTGACATTAAGATGCATTGTACTCATAAAATGATTTGTTGAATGGTAACTCCTTCTACAACGACTTAAGGTAAGAAGAATATAATTTAAAACTACTTAGTGAAGTATAGAACTATAAGATACTTTTCAGCAGTCATAATAATCAGGACCTAATAAACAAGAACACGATTCTTACCAACACTAATAGGTACCAGTACTATACACAAAAGTATCAGCTCAGGGCCAAACTATCAAAATGGAATTACTAAAAGCAAAAGTCCCTTTTTATTCTTACCAGTTAAGACACAAAAAGTAATTGCTATAAATGTATTATTGATTTTTAGATCAACAAAGCATTCTGTGAAAAGAAAAACATCAAAAAGTTATATTTAGTCTGGCAATGTCTCTCTAAGACAGCTTTTTCCTCTAAAAGGCAAGTTTTACCAAGGGGTGTGGTGAATGAAACACAAGACAATGCAGACTTAAAGCAAAAGACTTTTTCTCTTGTAATTTTAATTTAATAATGGAAAATCAAATGCACTGTTTGGCCTCTACATAAATTCAAATAGTGTCAGTTTCTTGTACATTAGTGGTAAATAATTATTAATCAGAGAGAAAAAAGTACAGGAAGTTTCTAAGATTTAGAACATCTTCTACTTTTCTAGTCTTTTTCTACTATGGAAATTTATGTCTTGTTTTAAAGTACAGGGAATTTTTAAAGATGCCTTTCACTTACATTAGCCAGGAAAATTAAGTCTCATCAACATGTAAACTCACCATCACATACCCCAGGGGCTCTAACAAGCTTAGAATCTCTCCTGGCATTCTGCTGAGTATCTTCTAAAGTAAAGAAATTTCACTCTCTTGAAAAACTGTAACATTCCATAGATCAGATACAAATTACCAGGATGAATTTAAGTGTCAACAAGCTGCCATTACATTTATAAAAGCTTTCTGAAAAAATGTTATTCTACTTGGCAATGATCTCATGAGATTCATACAGATTTCTCCAGGGGTAGAAAAATACCAAGATTTATCTCTGTATTTCTAGTCAAAGAAACATACCTTCTTGCCAGCATTTAGAAAAACATAAAAAAGGAAATTATTTGAGAAATATAAAATCTGTAGTAAATATGTAGGCTAACTTGGAAAATGTCCACGGGCTTGCATGCTTTTCCTACTATATGTAGAAGTAATCTTACCTTTGTAGCATCTAATAACTGTCTTGAATTATCTTTTCCCCATATCTGCCATGTGCTATTTCTTAACAATTCTGGGCTCTGTTAAAAAGATAAAAAGAGGGTATAAAATTTCAGAGTAGACAGTTAATATTAAGATTAATCTTTTGTCCATATTCATACATAAAATAATAACCACAGCCATTGTTAGTTAAATGGTTGTCTTTAATACATGTCTCTAAAGGGCATAATAGCCAGGCATGGTCCCATCCACTAAGAAGAGAGAGTTGGGAGGATCATTGTTCAAGCAAAGCCAGACCAAGCAAAACGTGAGCAATACTTGATCTCAGAATACAAGCCAGGCATAACATTACACACCTATAATCCAAGTGAAGGTTGCAGGACGATCACAGTTTGAGGCCAACCAAAGGCAAGAATGTGTATGGAAAAAAACCTAAAGCAAAAGGACTGAGGGTAAGTGGTTCAAGTGGTAGAGCACTTGCCTAGCAAGCATAAGGCCCTCAGTTCAATCATCATACCACAAAAAAATACATACATACATATGTACATGCGTAAAACTGTAGTCCAAGTATAAAGTAAGTTACATTACTCATAAAGAATATCAAAGTGTTTTTTCTCTTTACATGTACTTTATATCTAGCTTTGCCCTTTTTTTT